ATACATCTGATACTTTTATGTGTGGGATTTTCTTTTCTTTTCTGAAAACAACGTCCCTTTCGTTAACAATGTTGATAAATGATCGGCTCTAGTAAGAACGCCTAACTTCAAGCAATGGTTAACGACTAGTCTGTCACATTATTAGCTAGTATGGCGGTCTGATTATTCGTGATTACACCTCTATAGCATCATTGTTCTTGACTACTCGAAAGCGAGTTCTTGTCAGATTTTTCCGACTTTAATCTCTTTATTTACAACTACAAGTTTTTAGCAATTAATAAAAGAATGTGATAATGTTGATATTTTTTTAATAGGTATCACCCCATGCAAGGCAGTAAAGCCACTAAGACACAAGGGGTTACAAGATGTGGAAGAATTAGGAACATAAACATTAATAATGAGGAAGAAGAGGAAAGAGTAATCAGGTGGATAGTAGATAGAGATTGTCATTACATTTAAATTGTCGCAGATTAAAGTTGTCTGGAAAGTATAGAGCCGGAAGGGGTTTCCACAAGCAAGAAGTGCGAGAAAAGAAGCTGTTAGCAGCTCAACTGTAAATTGATGAGATCTCGACGCCAGTCGAGTACTGCACTTAAATTCAGAAAGTCTACGTACCATAGCGAAGAGCATTATTTATTCGTAAAATTTTAAAAAATATGTGGCACAAGGCTAGAATGGGAAGGTGGGAAAGGATGGTCTTCTGTCTTAACATGAAACAGCTAGCCGCGATCACTAGCCCAAACACACCACAATATTCCTTACGCCAAAACAACGCATTCTTACTTACCATTCTTACAACATTCACCACAATACCTCAATGTCTCTATGAAGATCCTAACTAGTTCCCATATTTACAATTCATGTCTAGATGTGGGGGGGGGATAAAATAACAATAAGACCTCATCCGAACAATTACCATGAAAGTATTTATAGAAAAGACATAGAGAGGCAACCTTACGTTGGTGGGTAAGTGATTGCAGCCGAGCCGCCAGATCAGGACCAATAATATTGCAAATTCTTCTTTGGATTATGATTATATTATTTGGTTATTATTATAAGTTTTAAAATGATCTGTTAAGATTTTGAAAACAAGTTTTTATTCCGACATTATTTCTTATCAATATAAACGTTATATTTAATGGCTTTGAGTTAATATTCCAGGATTATTTTTCGTATAATGGTTCGATTCCCTTTCTTTACTATGACAAGGGTTGATAAACTGTAAAAAGAAAAATCAATATATCCAATTATTTCAAATAAGTGAATATGAATACTTACATATTATTTGTTGGCTGTCCCATCATTGGCAGGTAATATTCGTGCAGCTTCCACAAATAAATGAACATACTTTAATTGGCTGGCAAAAAATAAAAAAAGATCTTTCAGAGTTAAATCATTATCCGCCTGAAATTAACATACATGACATTTAAATAATCTTTAAAGATATACAAAACAAATTATTTTTAGATAAAATCTTAGCATTTTGAACATTTCTTTCAAATTTTATCATTTTTGTGATGCTAAACATGCCTGATACTTTGTTTTTGTTCTGTTTTTTTTTTTTTTTTTTCAGGTAAAAATAGTTTTCACTTGTTTCAAAAGTTGATGCATTTGGAAAAAAAGATTTTAAAGTGCTTTTTTTAATCAATAGTAAGAATTGAAAGGCGATGAAAAACACTCATTCACCTCTTCTCAAATTGATTTTCATACTTTCTTAGCATGTCCTGATCAAACAAAATCTTACATGCGATAACATGTTCATATCAGATAAAAAAACAAAGAAATTCATTCGACACTCAATCGTTACTATAGTTACATCAAAGGGATGGTTTAGATAAATTAAGGGATTACTTTGACTTACTTCACTTTTCTTCGGGTCATGCAGTCATTTTTAACACTTGAGATAGACAAGACTTAAGTGTGCACCTAACAATACCTGTTTCCGTACACATACAAGAATTACATTTAAACTTGAAGCTATCGCCGATGTTATACGCATTGCCTTTAAACTTGATTTTAGTGGAAAACACACTTGTCTAGAAGCGCCTCCCTCGGGTCTCAAAGACGGCTGAAACAAATAATATATGGCAAACCTAGTTGCATCAGTCAGTTGAATGCTTGATCTGCTAAGGTCCGCCTTGGTTACGCCAACCCGACTGGCGCTGTCCTCTACGGCCGGTTTGGCCGTTGAGATCGTTGAGATCTTTGTCTATTCCACCGTTGGGGTCTTCGGTGTTTGGTAGCATCCAGTCTGGTCCTTCCACTTCAACCTTACGGCTATGGGTGCCCCTACAGGTGTTCGGACTCCTGAGGGTTTCGCTATTGGTATCACTGGGACAAATAAACCCTCTACTATGACAAGTAACGACCATATATATTTTACACTTGAAATCGGAGTGAACAGTTCGTTATCAAATGTACCAATTTGACTTATTACTTTAAAGACAATAATAGAAACAAATCACTAAATAAGAAAAGAAGAAAACTAATAAAAGTATAAAATTATCATTAAATATATGAGAACATTAATGTTGTTGCTAAAAAATAAACATTTGAGAAAAAAATAATAAAGGGAGAAGTTTACTACTGAACAAAAAAAAACCGTTACGACTAGAAATGCTTTTCCCATAAATTTGAAAATACGCCCTTGTCCATAAAGATATTACGTTACTATAGTCAATAAATAAAAAGAGGAAAGAGAATAAAACTGTTGGCAAAGGTTACAAATGTTTGAATGATAAATGATAGGTAAAGAGATTGATGATACTGAACCAATAGTCAATGATAAGCAAAACAAACATTACGTATATAGTTTTAAGATATGCAATATTTATGGATAAAAGTGTTAGAGCGTGTTTAAATATAAATATTCCAGTTTTGATTCTAAAGAAAAAAATACAACCCGATGATGAATGCGGGAAGTACTCGAAAGAACTAGCTGAATTAAAAAATACACCATATCCATTTTATACATAAGGATCTCATCATTCAGTGGATTATTAGTAGTATAATGCTTATAATTATGTCTACTATCGATGGGATATCGCCAATAATTGCATTAATATTGCTAATTGATTCAAGGTATGATTAGCTCTTTGTAATATATATATATATATATATATATATATATATATATATATATATATATATAGTGCTGCGTAAAAGTAATTGAACCCCTAGGATAATATTAAGAAAAATCTTAAACTATATTCATTAAAAAAAACTTTTATTCACCGAATTACAAAAATCTCTTACCCCTCGGCCATCATCGCAGGAAGGAATGGAAGGGAAATTTTACGTCTTTCTCTATACGAAACAAATCAACAGCGCATAGAACTCAATTCAATTTTACTTGTAGAATAATGCTTAATAGCAGTCGGAGCCGCTATATATATATATATATATATATATATATATATATATATGTGTGTGTGTGTGTGTGTGTGTTATGATCAATTGTAGATCAAATATGGATCGGAATCCAACACGATGATAAGATAAAGAAGAAATAGGAAACTTATATCAATCTAACATGTTTTACTTTTATTAAAGCTTCGTCAGAGATTGAGAGAAAACAGACAAAGAGAGAGAAACTTGGGTATTTTCAATTTTCTTTGGGTCAATTCTTATTGGTCAGTCAAATAGTACGTGCATTTAAACCGTGGATAATTCTATATGTATGTAATTTTGTATACCAAATTTTCTGTTTTCTCTCAATCTTTGATGTAGCTTTAATAAAAATATTAGATTGATATACGTTTCCTATTTGTTTTTATCTTAACTCAAATATATATATATATATATATATATATATATATATACCCAAGTATATAATTGGTGTATACGGAATGAATTCCAATTACTATTCTTAAAAGAGTGCTTAATAAAAAGTAGAGCAGATATAATTATTTTTTATAAAAAAAAAAATATATATAACATAAATATGCTATAAAATCACTACAAAAATAGCCATTTTGTTTCAACACCCTCGGTGTCTTATCAAGTGATGATGTTGAATATAAAAAAAAATCCAAAATGTTTTATATTTAACATCATCACTTGATAAGACACCGAGTTGTTAAACTGTTAATTTTGGTGGGAATTCTAAATCACTCAGGTAATTTATGTAATGTTTATATACGTACATTACATATATTCCAAATATTGTTATAATCGGAGTGGTAGTGGAAACAACCTCTCACTGTCTATAAAATACTCCCATGGCATGCTTCTCAAATAGCCTCTTACTATAAAGTCCAGGTCAAAGCCGGAGAAGTAGCGAAGGTGGACCAATTGCGTTTCATAACCAGCTACTTCAGGTATTTGGTGCTCGTCGGCCGTAGAAGGCAGTCTGCTTAGTGGACGGAAAACCCTTATTTTAATCTCCGCTGCCTTACGGTCATATCCAAACACGGGAAAGGATATGGAAGGAAATCCAAATAGAAAAACCGGAGTGGAGCCACGAAGGAAGCCTGCCCCAACTGTAATGGCCTGTATACCTTTGGGTCTTGTCGGTACGGCCGAGAGAGTTAGCCATGTCGTCTGGAGAGTGAAAGGCCTTTATATACCATCGCTCAGGCCTGCGCTCTGATGCGGTCACCCCCAAAGAAATGCATTTTGACCAAATAGGGCGCTACCTTTATCACGCGAGACAAACGAATCTCTTGTCTTCTCCCTTGATCTATACATACGTACCTTTTTACATAAAGAAAAAAAATTCTTTTTTATTTTTGTTTATCTTCTTTAATCATATCTCAATTAATATGCATACAATTTTTTTTTCTACGGCTTATTAACCCTTTTTCAGATTATTTAAATCCAGAAAATATTTTTAGATTTTAAGATGTTTATTTTTTACATAATAATGGCTTGTCAATACAATTCTTACCAATTAACCCATAGCTGGGAGGAAGAGGTGGATTCATAACTTTCCCAAGGGTATTTGCGCGTCAGTGAATATAATGTAACGAATTGGAATATATCTCACATCCAAGTTTAAAGCAGCAGGTATTCCCAAGCGGTCACCCATCTAGGTACTGACCTGACTCAACATTACTTAACTTCGATGATCGGATGAGAATTGGTGTTTCGACATGATATAGCC